AAATTATACTATACGGCAATAAATTTTGAAAAATTGCATATAAATTAATTCGATTGCATGACCTACAAAATATTTGTAGAATATATTGTATTCGAATAAACATGACCATTATGATAGTTTAGAGTAATGTAAATAAATAATTGTACGATTCTCGTACACATGCAAACGTCACAATCATTTTCACGCGTAGAAATGTTTCCATCATAATAAAGTGTATTTCTAGTACAATGTCAGTAATAAATACAGTTATTATTCATACATTTTTCCTATTAATATGACAGATCACTAGCAATAAAATTTAGGTGTCATGTATGTAGAGTAAATGTTCTGTTTAATAATCGTCTAAAAAATACTTATAAAAATACAATTCCTAAATAACATAATTTAGAGCTTCATTCGTTAATATGACGCAGCTCTAAAAACGTTATTAAAATTTTTACCTACAACCTACAATAAGTATAGGTGACAGTGAAACGTGTGGAGTAAAGTCAGCATGTTTGCTCTGGCAATGTATACTAACTCAACGTGTTAATAGATAATAAACTCATACATTTCATTCGTGAAACAATAGGTCAGTCTTGCCCTTAATCCCCTCCTGTTCTTTTCAAACGGGATTTATTGTGGGAGGTTCGTTATCTCCAAATATGTATGTATAAATTTAATGATTCTTCTATGTTTTTACTCAATGCTTGTTAAATATTAAGCATTATCTTCTTCATCTTCAGATGTCAATGTTACATAATCGATACGTCGTGGTAATAACAATGCTACATGTCCATATCTAGATAAGAATATACAATCGACTCTCAGTTGAAAATATCATAAAACAAATTAATATTAGATTTCCGAACTTACTTGCTGCTTTTGTATTTGTCTTGGATAGCTTGTTGTTGAATATTTAATGCATTGCAAAATGTTTTATTTAGGAATATAATGCATTCTTTAAGATCCTTTAAACAGTATCCTGTTGTCAGTTCCAATTCCTGTGACCACATCTCCTCCAATAATGTATGATGTGCAAGTGCCAATGCAGATGCTGCTAAATGACTAGGCAAGAACTGTAGATATGGATCACCTTCTAGCATTGATAATTCACACAAGTACTGAAACAGTATACAAAAAATTAAAACATTATAACACCATAACAATTAATTAATAATTAAAATTCATTTGCTCACCATTGCTAAAAATTTAATTTTTTCAGGGAGATTATTGCAAATACAATAATCGATAAGAAATGTAAGAGTTGTAGGAACAGATAAATCAAAAGACAAAACCCTCAGGATTAAATGCTCCATTCGTAGTACCTGTTTTTTCGTATAGGTTTCATTTGTGATGTATACAAATTCTCCAACGTCTGGTGGATAAACCTCTTCGTATTTTCTGTAATTAATATAACCAATGTGTATTGTTTATTAGATTAGAAACATTAATTACTGCAAAAACGTGTCTTACGCAGCAATAAACATAGCAGTTGTACCAACAAGTTGTAACTTTGCTCTTACAACACTCATATATGACAAAAAGCGATCTATATATGAAACAGCTAAGTAGAGAGTCTCAGTTTGTAATTGATATTCTTCAGCTACGTCGACAAGCCAATCTACAAGTATAGACCTCATGGAGTATGTTATATCAGGTTGCTTCTTCATATAACCTGGTTTTGGTCTATGTTGCGTCTGAAAGTAATGTTGTGAATATTTATAACAAAAGTATACAACAGCTACCACAATAAATACTATTTTGGTTAATTAACTACTATACCTCTGTAACACGTAAATAATAAAATATATCAGCCCTATATTCATTCACATCAAAAAAGCTCATTCTCATTTCCTTCGTGGAACACTGTCTTCTTTGTAATTCTTTTTTTGAAGAAGATGTGTAAGGAACAGTTTTCTCCAAAGACATTGGACTATCATGTTGAAAAATCTCTTCATTTTGCTTCTTTTGGTGTACATTTTGAATATTATCATTGCAAAATGTTGGCAAATTCGTTATATTTATAGGATTCACCTCTAATCTTGGCTTCTGTCTTTCAGGCACAACATCTTGTTTATCCTTCTGCTCTTTTTTGTCCTTCGTGTCCCTCAAAGCAACGGAAGTTTCTTCTTCTAATTTATCCTCATATATCTTAAATAGAACTTCCTCCTTTCTCTCTTCATAGATCTTAAATTGTTCAAACTGTGTGGGAATAAATGCTTTTGTCTTTGCAAGCTTCTCATCTTTATAAATTTCCTGCTAAAAAAGGAGCAAGACAGGTAAGAGTTGCTGTAGTGAATATAACATGAACAGTTTAAAATTTTTTCCTAGTAAATAAGGCGTGCACTAAATAATTTCCGAACAGGTTCATTCTATATTTTTTACGAGAAACTACGATAATTATTAAAGGATGAAGGAGAGAAACGATGACTATCTGAGTAGAAAAAACGCGGGAGGTAAGATGAAAAAAATGGAGTACATACCACTTTCGAATTGCGATTGCAATTATTGTGAATAACACCCAGAACTGCACGTTTTGATTGTTGCAGCGTTTTAGTTTGAAGAGGTATAGTGATATTCTCTTTACCACGGCGAATATCGGCAATACGATTTTCTTGATCCTCGTGTACTCGAATCGTGGCCATTATTTGGATTTGAATTTTCTACTAGTGTTACACTTATATATGTAAAAAATATATATATATATAAATATGTATATATATATATATATATATTAATCAAATATTTCTTCTTCCCGAGGTATTATTCTTCTTTTTTAGACACTTAACATGCCCTTTTCTTGTTACAGCCAAGTCTATTGTCCATACATGGCAGATCTAATTTTGAAGCTCCAAGCAACCGAACAAACTTCAGTTGCCGTTTGATTTCAAACAAACGTAACTTTAACAGCTGGCGATACGTTAGAAGCGTTGCTCGAATAGACCAATGAGAGGAGCATGTCTTTCATAAACTGTGAGAACACCAATCAGGTAAGTGACGTAATAATTTGCGTTCTCAAATTATATTTTTGAGTATTGGCGGGTGCGCATGAAAGGCAATTTTTTCTAGATTTAAAAATTAAAAAAGTTTCAATACTTCCTACTGTCTTATTAATTTTGTTTTACCATTTTTATCATATTATTTATCTTATTACTACATAACTTATTTGGTCATTTCAGATATAAAAATGTAAACCGATAACTGAGAAGTTCATATTATTCATTAACAATTGTTTATTCGGCGTTATAATTGTATATTTACGGCGGTTTTAAATAATATTTACGATATAAATATATGATATAATATAATAAATATTTTTATAATTATTTAATAATTATATATAATAATAATATATTTTAAATATGAACATGCAGATAAGTATGTACATAAGTACACAGTGCATCATTCATTGTGATACAATCACACCAGACACGGAAGAGAGAGAAACATGTATCTATCGACAAACATATTTAACTTTAATGAATGTCTCATTTTAATACAATAATGTGATTTACTACTCCTGCACGCTTTTTTTTACTCTCTACACTGGCGTGCACGTCCCCACCATTTTATACGCATCCAATCCGCAGTAGATCTTGCCTCAGCAGTGAATCGTCAGCCCATCAGAATAACGAAAATTTCTATACCGATACTCGCTAACGGTTTAAGCTGCGGCCTGTAGGTGTGTGCACTTTACTGTGCAATTTGCTTAAGTAGTTTGTGTCATTGTAAATCCACCTCAAAGATCTCAATTCACCATGGACCTAAGAATGCTAAGAATACATATATGTATGGACGGAGCATATACAGGGTGTCCCAAAATTATGGTATTTCCGGGAAATGAGGGATTCCTGAGGTCATTTGAAGTAACTTTTTCCTTAGTGCAAATGCAATCTGCCGTTTTGTTTATGAGTTATTAACAAAGAACAGTGACCAATGAGAGGCGAGATCAGTTGGCGCGAGGCGGCTGAGCCAATGAGCTGAACTAGGCAGTTTCTCGTGAATAACTCGTAAACAAAGCCGCGGATTTCATTTTCGCTAAGGAAAAAGTTACTTCAAATAACCTCAGGAATTTCTCATTTCCCGGAAGTATTATAATTTTAGGACATTCAAGCAGCAGACTTAAAGTACCTGACGGGGCCCGCATATACGGGACAATAGAGCAACTGTCGAGAGTTTTACCCTCAGATGAACACCCGCCTTTAGAGTGTCCTCTGCAAATGCTGCTTAAACATCAAGAAACCCTAAATTCAATCAATTATATATGTAGATATACTTTTAAATTTTTATAAGTCTTTATTGTCACAGTGGACGCAAAACAATATTATTCGTTGTTACTTATATACAATTTTATGAATAACGTGTCTTTGCAAAATTTATTCGTTCAGACACAAATTTACATTTTAATAATCAAATTCTTGCGTGAATAACTACAGTAGTGCCTCATTAGAATAAGCCGATGCAGGGGCCACTGGCTTAGAATTATTAACAGAGCTTTTTGGCTCCTGACCGTTCTTGGAATTTCCACTCAAGGACAGTATGTCTATTGGTTCAATGATGTCAGGGATTCTGCTCGGAATCTGCTCCAAATGGCGGAGAGAAGACCTCACAAATAGGATTGGACGATTCCAATGGGTTGCCAATGGAAATCTATTGGCATCATCCAATCCCATTTGTGATGGTAATTCTCCCACTTCTACTTTCCTGGAAGAAAGTCATAAAGCGGTCAGGATGCTGGGAGGTCTGCATAGTGTACTAATATGCCACTACATATAGTCAAGGGTGGGGTGGGGGGAAGCACAATTTAATTCGGAGCACATTCCGATCAGGTGCCATTCTCTGAGACACGTGTATGTAGATTTTTCGTCTGGCACCTGCCAACAGAGAGACGAAGACATTGTCACAGCACGATGATGTTCGTGCCTTTTACCAGATACCTGTAGTAATTTCTCATTGAAATCTTGACCTACGTGTGTGGAGCTCGCTAAAGGATAAAAACAAGGCGGGCGAACTACCAACGTTCGTGCCGCCTTTCCTGACACGATACACTGTAATTAGATGAAACGGGGCAGTACGTCGAGAAATATTACGTTGCATGCTTGAAAATGTCCTCAGAGACTTCCCGGAATGATGTGCCAAATGTCGTATCGAGACTGCATAATTTGCGCTTAAGTCAGGAAGATGGAGATGATCCCCAACCAAATGCAAGTGTAAATCATGTTGCATCTGGAGACTCGTCTCCAGAGACTATTCGAAATACCCAACCGATTGGTAATGTCACACTCTCACGGGCTAGACGTGCACTTAATTTTGTTTACGATGAAGATCAACCAACAACCTCTATGGCTAGAAGCGGGGAATCTTCATTTTCTAATGGAGATAAGTAAGTATCCATATAAAGTGTACATCACATTTTGAATGAATACATTCTAATCTTTTAAAATGTGTAATAATTCAATTTACTAATTCCATTGGTATTGATGTTTTAGTAGACCTCCGACAAATGCAGCAAATACATTGCATTTAGAGGGACGACCTCAGAGTAATGTTGCCTTGGAAAATGCATCCACGAATAGTCAAACTACTGTTGCATATAATTGGCAGGGTACAAAAGCTACAATGCGTGAAAGGATTGTCTTTCTGTTTAATAATGAAATATTGTCTGATGTGAGCTTCATAGTGGGGAGAGGAGCACAAAAACAGCGTATACCAGCTCATAAACTAGTCCTATCTTCTGGAAGTGCTGTTTTTGATGCAATGTTCAATGGAACACTTGCTACAACTTCTTCAGAAATAGAAGTACCTGATGTAGAACCAGTTGCTTTTTTAGCAGTGCTTCTTTTTTTATACACTGATAAAATAGAAATAGATCCTGAGAGTGTGATGATGACGTTATATACAGCTAAGAAGTATGCAGTATCAGCTTTAGAGAAGCACTGTGTTGAATATCTAAAGAGTAATTTAACCAGTGATAATGCTTTCTTACTCTTAACGCAAGCTCGTTTATTCGATGAGCCTCAACTGGCTGCAGTCTGTTTGAATACCATAGATAGATTTACTACCGAAGCATTAAATGCAGATGGTTTTACAGATATAGATATTGATACACTGAAGATTGTTTTGGAGAGAGATACTCTTCGTGTTAGAGAATCTAAAATATTTCAAGCAGTTCTAAGGTGTGTGAACATGCTTTTATCATCTGCCTGGTATACATAACATTATTTTTGTGTTCCTTCAACAGATGGTCAGAGGCGGAATGTGTAAGACACCAGCTACCCCTAACTCCAGAAAATCAACGTTTTGTGTTGGGTAGTGCTTTCTCATTGATTCGTTTTCCTCTAATGTCTAAAGAAGAATTTACTGCTGGTGCAGCACAATCTGGACTTTTGAATTATGCAGAGGTTGATATCACGAAAATACAATTTAGTGAACGTTTTTGTAAGCTGACTAATTAATGACATGGGTTTTAGGTTCTTTCCTTATTTTCATATTTTATACTAAATCCAAAACCAGTAGTTGGATTTCAAACAATGCCTCGTTGTTGTATGACTGGTAAGGAACAAACTGTATGTAGGTTTCAACATACTAAAAGCAGATGGGGATATTATGGAACAAGCGATCGCATTAGGTATGCATATGCTTATATGCTTATACTTCTGTAATATTCTATAAAATTTAATCAAATTTTATTATAGATTTAGCGTTGATAGACGAATATTTCTTATTGGCTATGGAGTTTATGGTAGTACGCATGGCCCTGCAATATATGAAGTATTAATAGAATTAATACATACTGCTTCTGGGAAAGTAATTGCTACAAATTCATCAAGTTTTAGCTGTGATGGTTCAACATACACTTATCGCCTAATGTTCAAAGAATTAGCAGAGATTTTACCAGATACAATTTATACAGCATCAGCAACATTTCAGGTTTGTGTTTTGACAATATGAATCTATAGACAACCAGACATTGAATACTAATCGAGCATCGTGATCCTTGCAGGGTCCTTGTTCTCATTATGGAACTAAGGGTTTAGAAACTGTTATGGTAGATAGTGATACAGGAAATGGAAAAGTCAAGTTTGAATTTAGTATTGAGACAGGTGATAATAATGGAACGTCTACAGAGGAAGGACAAATTCCTGAGCTTATATTTTACACTTAATGACTCATGTACATAATAATGACATTCCTTTAATCAGCTTCATTGTCTTTCAAAATTTAATACATTAAATCGAATTGTACAAACAGTTTTATCTGTCAGTTTCTTTGTCAATTATGTATACAATATTATTATATAATATTGTATAATATATATATTTATGTATTTTATTATTATTATTACTATTATTAAATGAAATGTTTTTAATTGAATGATCCATAAGAATGTTTAAAAATTTGTCAAGGACTGCTTAACTGCAATGAAACAGATGAAAGTCTATATAAACTGCGTTCAATTGACAGTTTCGAGCATGAAATTTATGGATCTCAAAATGGGCCTTATTGGGACGAGAGACTGATTTACGCAACTGGTATAAAAACAAAGTTGAAGTAAATTCCCTATTTTTTTAATAATTGAGTATTTCGATAATCGACTTTTTGCAAAATTATATATATAGATAAAACTGAATCTCTTTTTAAATTTAGAAATATATCAAAATTGGTTACACTCAGCAAGTAAATTTTAATAATCTTAAAGAAGATTTAACTACTCACTAAACAGGTTGCAAATATCATCTATAACTAAAATCGATCTATTTTTCTATTTCTTCAAACAATATGTACATGAGTGGTAACT